CTTAAAATGGAAAAGTTGTGCCAGCATATGGGAGAGGAAATTGATAAGATAGGAAAAAAGAAAAAGAATGCTCACCTGTTTGGATAAATGCACATTTTGGGGTGTATTTTGTTAAGGCAGGGTTTCTCATCTTCAGCACTCCTGACATTTTGGGCTAGATAATTCTTGTTGGGGACTGTCCAGTGTGTTGTAGGATTTTCAGAAGCATCCCTGACCTCTACACACCAGTAACCGCCATGTGTGATAATCAAAAATGTCCCCCAGAGAGTTCCAGATGTCCCTGAGGGAGCAATAGCACTCTAGGCTGAGAATGACTGCTTCAAAATAATAAAAAAGGGGTTATGTATCATCACAGAATCTTTGTTTGCATATTTGAGTAACAGTGGAAAATAGAAATAGTTAACAGAAGATTGAGAACTGACAAATGTCCCAAATATCAGAAATGACCTAAAAATTAAAACAAAAAATCAAACTGTATGTTGAACCTGCAAAATGGTAATCCCAAAAGCAAGCAAAGATCTCATGAGAGTACTTCACTGAAGCCAGGGAAGTGGGGAGGAGATGAAAAAAGACCTAAGACGTGCTATGTACACTTATCAAGTCCTCATTATGGATATAATCGTGAACTGCAAATATGTACTAATAAAAATAAATTTTTAAATATTTTAATGTTTAGATGTTTTAAAATAAATAAATGATAAGGTACAGTTCTGAGAGAAGATAACTAGTTGAAGAAGCAAATTTGAAGATTGTCAGAATATTAGCTGTGTTCAGCCATTCAAGACATTTTTTATCTTTTTTTCTTTCTTTTCTTTTAGTTCCTTTTTATTTGGTCAAGACACTTCTTTAAAAAGACAGGGAAACCAAATTAATAGTTGCCCCTATACATGATAATTTTAGAAAATAATGGATGAGAGAGGAAGGTGATGAAAAATGAATTAAGATGTGTTATGTATATATATAAATTTCCCAAGATAATTACAATCTTTATGTACTATAAACATCTACTAATAAATGTTTTAATTTTACTAATTAAAAAACAGTGGAATGAAAAAGTTCATTTATGATAACAATCAAATTTTATAAAATACTCATATGAAGAGAACTTGAAACACTCAGGAAGCTGAAGCAGAAGGCCTTTTTTCCTTGAACTAAATTGGAATTCTGCCAAAAGAGGAGGATGCATGGATATTGCATAGGCAACCAACAGCATTTATCACAAATTATTTGATTCCTAAATCTAATATTCCTTTGTTATCCCATTTTGAAAAAACAGAAACTTCAGAGGATAGCAGAAAAGCAAGTTAATCCTGTAAATTCCCATGCAAACATAATTTAGGAGCTCTAGCTCTGGACTAAGGTAAACCACTGTACTTCTAGGAAATCTCAGAGAGGTTGATTTTATTTCTTAATCTCCCTTCATTCCCACCCACAAACATGTACATATACACTACAAAGGAAACACCATCAGAGCAGGTCTTTTGTTTCACTAGTGACTATCACAGCACTTTAGAATGAATCCCAAAGTCAACCCCAGACGGGTAGAATCAATGTAGAAGCAATTTTGCCTCTCAAGCTATGCTATGGACTCTTCAACAAGCTAACTCAGGGGCCTCTTTGCATTGTTACCACCTCAAGGCCTCACCAACTGAGACGTAGTAATCTCTATCCCAATTCTCTGCCCTGATGCACATATACAAGTAAAAGAGACAAACGTTTACAGACTGCAACTTAAGCAATGCTAACTGCAACTGTACATCTGCAATGAGAAAAGAAGCTTATGTAAAATGTAAAACAATGACTGCTTCTTTCATCTAGAAAGTCTTGCTGCAAAGTGCTAGAGTATAGCTGATTTAAGTTCTAGCACAAGCTCCTTATCTCCTTACACGAATCAGTAACAAATTGAAAATTACAGGTAATACTTTGAATAACATTAATTTAAAAGAAGAACTAAAGCTATCAGGTTCCAACGCTGTGAATAATACTAAAGCAGAGGTTAAAGCTACCAAGTTCCAACTTCTGAGAGTCTTTCTTTAAACACTGCTTTTTCCATCAAATCAATTTCCTCAAAGACAGGAAGGACCTGAAACAGCACAGGTGTAATGATTGTGATAATGAAAGGCAAGAAAAATAGGGAGAGGTAGCTGATTAACCTGACAAAATTTTGCACATAGGAACTTGAAAAAGCTGCTACATCCCCAAAAAGTTAGTGATGATCTTACTAACAGATTACTGGCTGAATTCTAGGCAGCAAAAGTGTAGTTAAAAGCAGTAGTCAAACATGTTAAAATCAGGAGCAGTAGCTAATACAGTAGTCCTATTAACTTTAAAAAAATTCTGCCATCTTAATTATCTGTCATGTTAGAACAGATTAGCAACTTGGTTGAATTCAGGATCTCTAGCCCACATTCCTTAAAATACAGTATCCAAACAAGAATGAAAAAAAATCATGCTTTCTGAATCTCTGGGACTAACATTCCCATGAGCCAATGATCCATAAATGAACATTATTTTTAAGTCTTCATTATGAAATGCATAGTTTCTCTTCAGGCAGGATTAGGTTGCCAACTTCCTTTCTTAAATCTTGATCCCTGTTATTACAAAGAAAAAATAGAAATACACAAACAGGAGTCCATAGAAAACAGAGTAGAACTCCCATCCATTCACAGTTTTATCACAAAGAAAACCACACAATGTAAAAGTTGTCTTAATATGGGCAAAATATATTCTTTAAGACTCACAACTCTAACTCATCTGTCAAACAATGGTATCTCTACTCTCTACAATGATTTGCTTTATTAATCACTAATTCCCTGGATTTTTTCCCTTCGATATATTATATTTCTATAACCATGGTTCCCAAATTCAACAATGAAAAAACTAAAATTCATCTTCTTTGACCTCTACCCTAAACCATTCTTATGTTTCCCTAAATAGAAAAAGCCAATACTAAATTTCTGTTCTTGCATTTGCCCTTGGTCCTTTTTCTTTCCATTCTGCTGCCTACACATTTCCTCCAAAGACTTCTGACTTCCCAGTTTCACTATAATTGAAGTATTTACTCTTCTTTTTTCTGTTATTTCCTATTTCTTTGTCATGGCTGACTCATAAAATTCATAAATAAGAACTGTATACATATGATCTTCCAGCAAAAGTTATTTATAAATTCTATTGGTGTAAGGTTCACAGTAATGTAAGTGGTCAACGGTAATACTATCTATTGATTTTGGAGCACTTTCAACTCTGATGTGTAGCACTGTTGATATCTGTGAAAGTTTGTGAGTTGAAGTTTTCTAAATAGAAGAGATTATATCCTTCCATTTAATATATTGTTATCTATGTGTCCAATAACAATGTCTTACACATCATAAACGCTCAATAAATACTTTATTTGGTAGACAAAGAATTTTATAATGCATTAAAAGACAAACAAAAATACATCTTAAAAATCATAACCTTTGCCTTCAAATGGAATGCTCTCTAATTCAACTACTCATACTATTTATACCTTAAATATAAATACATAATATATACATGTATAAACAATATATACATAGACATACATAAATACACAAAAGTATCGTGGCACCTACATTTTCATCCATGACTTAAAAATTACATCCATTTACTTGAAAGAATGTTATGCAGCATTTTAAAATAGCATACATTTAAAATAAGTGATATTATGTGGAAAATTTTTATAAAATTAAATAAAAAAATAAAGTTCAAATATTATCTACAATGTTACTCAATTATTTTTAAAGCCAGGCAGAGAATAAAAAGACTGCAGAAAAAAAATCAATGAGATTATAGAAAATATTCTTTTTTTTTTCTCTGCTTTCAAAATTCTTACAATGAGAACTTGTTACTTTTCTAACTTATAAAAAATCAATTTTACTATAAAATTCCCAATATTTTACTGAAATAAGATGGAAAATTCAGACTATGTGTGGAAGGTAACAAATGGAAGCAAAAACATCTCTGTATTTTAGGTATCTTCATTTAACAAATTTGTCCTATGCGACTACTAAGGTAATTTTTATAGTGGGTAATGAAATTTTACACATCCAAATACCCCATTCAGATTTCATTGGTGATAATCCACATCTCCAAACCAGAACTATTCTCAACTCACTGACCTTTCAGTCTGAGTAAGTACGGTAGCCACAAACCCAGAACCATTCCCACTTATATTTTAGGCAAGCTATTGACTTTCAAGTATCCCAGAGATGTTGCAAGTCTTTCTCAGTGGCATATACCAATAACTCAAAACCTCTCCAGTCAATGAATTTCCTGATCCCTATCACCAGTTTCTTTCTTTTTTTCACTTGAACTCATGTCTTCCAATTCTCTCAGTGCAATTTACTACAGCCAGTGACAGTCACTCAAGACCCTAATTAGACAGTACCCTTCTGTCTACACGATCATTGTATCCCATGTTCGTTTCACACAGTGATTTTCACTTGATTACAAAGCATGGTCAAACAGTTCCTCTAATACCTAATATTATTGTCAATTGTATAACAAATATAAAATAAATGTTAAGTTTAGAAATTAAGGCTTTTTACTACTATCTTACTTGAAACATCATCCACTTACTATGAATAAGGTTTTGGTTAAAAGTAAAATCCCTTCAAATATTTTCCATGTTTGCTTCCTTTTTCTCCAGTCCCATGCCAAAGCACAAGCATCCAGGCCATATCTTATCTTTTCCTACACAGCATCCAATCGGCTTTTTATAGTCAGAAACTCTCTGAATGCAAAGCACGACCTTGGCTACTAACTTCCGCTGGCACTGGTTTGAAAGTTATTTATAACTTTATAATTACCGTGAAAGCCTACATTTCTCATAACTAGTTAAAACATTCCCTTTTTATATAATAATGTGATCTTTCCCTCAGAAGAAAACCCACATTTTAAACCTACAATATATAACTAAGACACAATAATTCAAGGGAGAAATGAAATCCAGCTCTTCTCTTCACAAACTTGACTCTTACCTTTCTGTTGCTTCCTATAAAGTAAATGTGCTTAAAATTCAGATCTTGGAGGGAATTTTCCAGAAAAATAAATGAGAAAACTTTAGGGAGAGAAAAAATCTTCTCGAAAGTCACAGAGTTAGAGAATACCAAGCTGAGGGGCAGTGACAGTGGGGCAGTCACTTTAGCTGAGCACAGTTCACCCAGGATAAGAAAGAAAGGGGAGGTTACAAACCAGGGTGGGTGGTATCTAATCCTGAACCAGTAGTCACTGACCTCACTGACAACTTGTTACTGAAAATACTTCGTTGAAAAAGGCCAGACACATACTTTGCCTAGAGACCTACATAGTTGTTAATAAGCTCTGAATGGGTTAGATTTAAACTTCTGTAAGTCCCTTCCCAAAATAAGGACCTCTTATTTCTAATTAAAGCTGGAAGTCTAATTAAAGAGTTATTGAAAGTGAAAAATGATAATACATGGATAACAGGTGCCCAGGAAATGTTTGCATCAAAAGGTCTATTATTTAAAATTGCATGTATTTGGAACTATCAATGATGGCATCAAGGCCATGTGTCACATCTGAGATAAAAGTTTTCTTCTGAAATCTTACCTGTGTCATAGTGTCACTTATATCACACTTTCTGCTTCCAGTATCTATGAAGAACCACATAATAAGCAAAGAAATTAAATTGAAGAGTTATCAAAAATATTATAAGTAGAACAGTTTAAAATTAAACCATCAAAAAGTCTTCTACACCAAAATATTTCAATGTTATCCTTTTTTGTATCTCCTATATCATTTGTAAAATATCTTAATATTTATCATATCAATATTTTAATATTCACTCAAACAATACTGAATATTCTTGCCTTACTATTATATCATTGATTCCTTGATACCATACTTGAACTTATATAGTGATTCCCTGGATATTACTACTTTCTGACCTTCTTCTAACTAGCTTTTAAAAGAAAAGGTGGTAACTATAATATGAACTATCATCTGAGTTTTGGCAGTCCTTGCCTTAAAGGACTGAATTCAAAATAAAAGAAAGCATTTATTAGCTCTAGAGACATTCTTGGAACAAATACTAGGGAGCCAAGAGGAAAGGCAGAGTCTGGAGATTGTCAGAGGAAATCAACTATGAAAAGGGTTTCATTTTATATGATTTGCAGAAATGCCTGCAAAATAAGTGTATTTCTACATAACTTCCTTATCATGTGCATAACTGACATTTATCTAAAGATTCTTAGTTGCTAACATACTGTCTCCCCCAGATTTTTTTGAAGCTGCTTTTTCCCCTTGGAGAATCTAGGAATAGCCTCTTTTCATAGAGAAACAAAGAGTAAGTTTTATGTCTCTCAATCCATCTTTTCTTGAATAAAGAAATCACTTGACACTTGCAAAATAGCAGGTTTTGTTTTAGAGCTTTAATAATGAATGTTTTCAAACCAGGACTGTTGAATTGAGCCCAAGATAAGATATCCAAATTCTATTATAAGCTTAGCCTGTCTAGCTGTAAAACCACAATAAGTTTCCTACCTGCTCTATATTTCTTTCTGTCCTCAAAATGAACATGAAAACCCCTATTCTTTCGACTTTTCAGTGGATATGTGAATTAAATGGATAAAAATCAGAAGTGCTGCAAATTACATTGCACTCCTCAGAGATGCAATACAGATAAAGCCTTATGATAGTTCTTGGTGCTATCCAAACAATTAACTATTATAAATATCTAAAAGATAAGTTTAAAGAGCTTTGCAAAGTATTTTTTTTTTCTTTTTAAATTCCTTACAAAAATATCTGAAGCCCCCAAGACAGGTTTTAACTGAAATACTTCCTTCTCCAACCACAAGGGGCCCTCTCGTAGCAATTCAAATCACACAAGGGCCCCACGGTCCTTTGTATTTATATTGCTTTGCTGACAGAAAACACAGATCACCAGTGTCAAATTTCCATACCTAACTATAGGGTAGCAAACAAACCAGCAAGATCTGGCTTTCTCTGTGTGATCACTGAAGCATGCTGAACACTAAATAGTTTCTGTAAACGACACAGTGCAGCATTTTGCATCCTGGCCTCCTTCCAGACTTTCACAGTAATTCCTTTTTGTCACCTTGCCCAGTTGTGTTCAATATTTATGTTCCTTCCCTATTTACTTGTTTCCTTTTTATACTTTTCAAACTTGAAAGTTTTGGCTCACATTCCTCTTGCAAGCAAACAAAGGTTACAAGAAGAAGAAATAGAAAAGAGAGAGAAAGAGAAAGAGAGAGAGAGGAAAATATGTAGAATAAATCAGGCCTATTTGCAGCAATCCTCCAAAGGTAATCAAAAGTATATTTTAAGTTAGGGTATCAAGGATCAGCCTATACAAAGTCATTCAGCTGCATGTATGGAGAACCTCTGGATATGGGGTCTTATATTAGCCAGCTAAAAGATTACAGGCAGGAAAGAAAAGTTCCAAAAAGAAAGGAATTCTGTCCCTATTGATAACATCTCAAAAAATAAGCCCTGCAGTGGGTATTCAGTTCATAATCAGAAAAAAATACAATTTTTGTTAAAATCCCTTAAGAATAAAAATAACTTTAAAATGAATCATAAACTTCTTTATTCTATAAATGACACATCAAAATCATGGCAATTTCAGGTTTTAGCTTTTAAAAATGTATTTTTCTAAATAGCTATCATAACTTTTTAGAATGAGGTTTAAGGCAAAGGAAATTTCCTATTTGTGATAATTAAAATGAATTTATTCAAGTAATATATGATAAATATTTCTGGTACCTTGTTGGATGCTTTAGATGAATCTACTCTTGCTTTAAGTATTTTATGTACAATAAAGATTTTTCATTGTCCCTTCTTATCCATTTTTTTTAATTTTTATTTTCTTGGTACATTTTTAGATATACATAATGATAGCATTCACCACAGGGAATTTGTACCTGCATATTACAGTTCTTGCATCTTCTTCTCCCACTTATTCTTATATTACCTACTAACTAACTATCCAGCTTCACTGAAAAAATAGAAGCTTTCCAGGGAAAGATCCCACATCTTCTCACCATCAAATCTACAAGCCACAGCAAGGAGCCCATTTTCTCCACCTCCCCTCCTATTACAATGCAAGAAATATCCTGCTTCAGGGGTGGGGATTTAGCTCAGCTGCATAAGCACCTTCCTTGCAAGCAGGCAGTTGTGAGTTTGATCCCCGGTACTGATTAAAAAAAAGAAAAAAAGAAAAGAAATACCCTGCTTCTATCAAAGACTCATCTCTCTTCTCCTGTTCTGAATCCTATCTTGCCACCCACTCCATGTGATTTCCAATCCTTTTGCTGCCATCAGGGCCATGTTTAAGTCTACCAACAACCTCTATGTGGCCAAACCAACACAGTCATCTCAGAGAACTGCATCATATCCCACGGCTTTATAAGAGATCCATAAGAGGATACCAAGTGGAACTTTTCCTTTTGTCCAGAATTAACAACTACAGTTCAAACTGAAAAAAATGATGCCATCTATAAACAACAACATGCCAAAGAATTTCTAATATTTGAGAACAGACAACTCACTCAGGACTTACTAAAAGGAAGTTAAGAATAGAGCTTCATGCCCTCCCTCTCTCTTATTCTGTCTTCTAGCCCCAACACTAGAGGAAAAGTTAGTAGGCCTAAAAAATTTAGATATCAAGGTCATCTACTTCCACTTCTTGAAGATACCAAAGCAGCAATAGTCTTGCCCCTCGGCATTCCAAGTCTTTCAAGATGACATCTGGTCAGTGCTGGTTAAAAGAGAGATGAGATTTAAATTTGGACAAAGTGACAGTGTTAGTCTGGCTTAAGTAGGCCTTTAAAGAGAAATGAAAATGGCACAAGCCTATTCACTGTATCATTAGGGAATGAGAAATGAAGATGCCAGAAAGCAAAGTAAAATGTAGCACCTGGAAAAAGTAGTTCATTCATAAATCAGTTGTATAACTGGCTCATATGCTGTTTCTCAAGTTTGTACTCTGAACCAGACCTCTCTCATTAGCCCCAGTGCATATACCCAACTATCTTCTCCATTTGGACAGCCAACATGCATTTCTGACTATGTCTCCTCAAAAAAGTGTTGATTTTTGCCTCTCAAACCTATTTCCTTCTATTATTCATATCTAGGAACAAAAATTGGTGCCATAGCCTAACTGATGAAATAAAAACCTAGGAATCAACCTTCATTCTTTTGCCTTATAACCACCAAGAATTCCCAACAACTCTACTTCCAAAATTTAGCATTATGTTCACTTGTCTCTATCTCCCCTCCAGTATTCCAAACTTTGCAACACATTCTCCATGTATCTCCTAAGTGATCTTTCAGAACACAGTTTAACACGTGTTACTTTCCTGCTTAAAATCATCTAATGGCTTCCTATTACTCATTACAGAAACAAAAGATTTTTTAAATTCTTAACCAAATCTACAAGGTTCGGTGTGGTCTGGCCTGTCAACCTCTCCCTCCTGACTCATAATATTCCCCCATCTAATTCACTGATTCCAGTTATACTTTCTGGTCATACCCAATAGTATTTCCTCAGGGCAACTGTACTTACAATTCCTCTGCCTAAAACTATGTATTTCCAGGCTGGGGGTTTAGCTCCGTGGTTCAACTGCCTGCCATGCAAATGCCAGGTCATGAGTTCAATCCCCAGTACCAGGAAAAAAAAAAAACACTATGTATTCCTAGACATTAACATGTCTGGATCATTCTCATCTTTCACCTTCTCAAAGAGGCATTTCCTGATTACTCTACCTCACTGCTCCCTGCCTCCAGTGACTTACACTGACACAGCTTTTTATTTGTTTAGTTGTTCTGTCTTCACTATGGAATAAAAACTAGAGGTAGTGGCAGTGTCCAATCACATGACATATGCAAATTAACTATAATCCAAGGTCAATCACCAGGACCTTCAGGAATTCAAATCAGGAAGACAGAGCTCTAGGAAGGCAGAGTAATCAAAGAAAATTTTCTGGAGGAAGGTACATTTGCACTGACACAGAAAAGATGACACAGCATCATAAGAGATAGTGCTTGATTTTATTTGTCCAATAACCTTCAAATCTATGCTTTATCTCCATCTCTTTAAAGTTACTTTCCTGGTAAACTACACCTTTGTTCTGCTTGTTGTCTTTCTGTATTATATTTTCCCCCAACTTCTTCCTTTTCTTTTATCT